TGACTACAAGCAGATAGAGACAGAGTTATGAATTTGTCCGAAATAAAAATGCCTCCGTGTATACTCGAGGGCTGCCTTAATATGTAATCTGTTTTGTCGCTTTGTTAAATCCAAATAAACAATGACAGACATGACATTATTCCAAAGACACTGCAGATAAGTTATGACTGTTGTGGACAGAGTACAGCAACAGTCTTTAACAAAGGACAAATTTGTATACTGTCACTCTCCCTGGTCTCCCCCATTATCCTAATGGTGTACATATTGAACGAATCACTCGCGAACAACAAGTTGTTAGCTAGCCTTAATGACTAACATGTCTAGCGGTCCTGATCACATGCTCTCTTGTGGTCAGTTTTCACATGACATGAATGGATCAGTTTGATTTAATGTTACGGTGTATGTAATAAGTTACCCTGAAGATCTGAATAATTCATTTATTAATTTATACTTCAAGACAGTAATTATTAATCAATCAATATTTGCGTGAGTATTGATATATCATCATTGAAGTATGTGGCCGGATAAAAAACATCTTAAATAAAACTTTTCAACTTTAAATCCAGGAACACAGTTTCATGACAACCCACAGTAGTGTTTTCTACTATCTTCACCTGCGAACAAAAAGATGTCACCGCTAGGTAAACAACAAAAACAAATAAACAAACAGATGTCATTGAAATCATTTCAACTTATGACATCTTACAACTGACAACTGTTGTCCTCCGGCAATGACTAACGACATCCATCTGTAGTATTTACATTTGCCTCACTCTACCACCCCTTTATGTTAGTGTGTATTTTCTCAAATCTCTCCCTCCCTACATTGTTTTCCTGTCAACCGTGTCTGCTGAGAAAACAAAAAAAAAAAAGCACCTGTCATGTTCACAATGTGATTCCCCCTACTTATTATGCAACAGTGACATCATTACAAAAGCAATCACAGCATTGTGATAACAGGTTGGCTCATTAAAAAGACAGGCAGGTGAGTTAACTATAAAACGTTTATACACTGGGCCATAGCAGAGCTCACATCTGCATATACAAGAAAAAAAGCGTAAATAACGTATAGTTTAGTGGGGGGGCATGGCGCCATTGCGGGGGTTCGGGGGGGCTGTGCAATAAGTGAATGAAACGTAACACAGCATATTGTCCAATGCTGTAAATGTTTACCAACAGAGAGGCAAAAATGGATTGGTTGAAGGTGTGGTAAAAAAATGAATATCCATCTATCTTCATCCACTTATGCATTACCAGGTCGTGGGGTTAGCAGCAGTCTCTATGACCGCCACCTAAATCACACTACACCGCACCAGCCCACCGTGAACCTTCCTGCGGGTGGTGAGTCCACTGGAAGGCGCCCTAACCAGGGATGAATATCCGATAGTAATATGGCAAAGAAGGCAGTTATATTTAATTCTCACTCGTTTTTGCTGTCACCTGTTCACTGTGCTGTTTGCATATGGTGATTGCCTTTTGTCTTGCCAACACTCTTCCAGTCCTAACATTTAACTATCCTAGCTGTCGTTTCACTATATCCACACATCAGTAAATATATGCTCAAACTCACTGCTTGTTATACTAACGCCATCCCATTGTTTTGCTGGTGGTGTTTGTAATAAGAAGTCCTAAGCTGGGACCATCTTTTCATAATGTTAAAATGTGAAAACAGGAAGTCATGTCCTAAGCTGGGACCAGCTTTTCATAATGTTAAAATGTGAAAACACTAGAGTAATGCCAGTTTAGGCACCATGTTTTCAATTGACAGTGACTTAAGACCATCAGTGTTATTTGAAAAAAAAAAAAAATCTAAATAATCTAAATAAAAAAAAAATTGTTCTTATTGCCACTGAATAATAAATTGGGATGTCACTTTTGCCATGTGTACAAACATGTACATACAATATGTGTATATGAACCTGTATAATATATATATATATATATATATATATATAAACATCTTACTCTACTCTACTCCTACTTTCCTTATGACTTACTTATGTCATATTCTTATGAGATACTGTTCTTCTTCCTCTTTGGCCTACTATGACTATAACTGTACTTTTTCTATTTATTATTTATTACTATTTATTATTATTAATGTATGTTGTATGTTTACTGTAGCTTGATTGTTGATTGACTGACTCAAAATTGTAAGTCGCTTTGAATAAAAACATCAGCTAAATGTTTTGTAATGTAATGTTATGTATATATATATATATGCATATATATATATATATACACATACAGTATATATATAAGTAAGTAACCTTCACTGTTTGTGATTTAAAAAAATCATCATGAGAGACCACAAGTGGCCACTTTATAATTATCAAGTACAATCTTAAATACAATCTCTCACTCCTAATGTGACCTGTTGTATTTAGAGGACTAGGTCACATTTGGTGACTAGTCAACTATGTCACAATAAAGAACAAAGATAAAAGGCAAAATAATAATAACAATAATAAAGCAAATTGCACAATACTGGTAGTTACAAGATACTACATTGCCAGTATAGCCTAAATTATCTTCTTGCTACAAATCCAAGTATAATTACAGGAAACCTTTAACATTCAGTTAAAAGGCATCAACTTTTAAACTGGAATCATGAGCTGTTTGACGCTGTGCACACTGGAAAATGACACCAGGCAATTGATTTGCGATTTCCTGAAAGACTTCACCACAAAATCTACCCAACGATTGGTGGAGAGCAAAGCATTGTCAACTATGAAAAGAGTGGTAAAAGGCATTTTAGACAAACACAGACATGCATTCAGTGGCATGATCAACAACCTCTCTTTTGAAAACGGAGTATATAATATTGGAGTTGTTGGGGCAGTGGCCAGGAGCCTCTTCAGAGATGGCACCTCCAACTGGGGTCGAATAGTTAGCCTGGTTGCATTTGGGGCAGTGCTTTGTCAGCACCTAAAGGAGAAAGGCTGGGAGAACACGGTGGACCAGGTTGGACAGGAGATCGCCTCATACCTGTTGTCTTATCAGAAAGACTGGCTCCTGAAAAACAACTCCTGGGATGGCTTCGTGGAATTCTTCCAAGGACAAGAGCCAGAGAAGGCAATTAGATGTACACTTCTTGGCTTTGTTGGGTTTGCAGGACTTTGGGCAACACTTGCCTTACTGATGAGATATTTTCTCAGGTTTGTGTGGTAGAAAAACTGAGTTATGATCCTCAACCCCCCTTTCAGCTCAAAATGATACACTTCACCCAGGAAGATGCAATCGAGTATTAGCACAACAATGCAGCACTGCTGTTGATGTCATAACGATTTTTGTTTTAGCAAAATCAAATGATACCGTTGCCAAGCAATGTAACTGTTAAATGATCTAATTAACATTTTTAAATATAGAGTTAAAATAAATTGTGACGTTAAAATGAATCCTGTAACCTTTTGTTTATTCTGTTAATGAAAAGCTGAAGATCAACCCAAGCTCAGTATCAACACTTAAGAACAATTTCTAAGTATTGTCAGTGTTTGTGTTCAACTAAACTGGACCACGATTCAGACTCGGTAAGTAAAAGGTGAGAAAATATTCAACTGGAAGATCATTATATTGTATAACATTCATCTTTGTTCAGTGGTGCACCTTGGGATTTTTCTAATCTAAATATCTGTTTAAAAATATATGACGAATGAACCAGAACCAAGGACACAACCTACACCAAGGGCCGGTTTCCTGAACCATGTGATAATGAGACACTTCCTTACTTGTCATGAGACAATCCAGAGAATAGTCTTGTCAAGGCTAACTAGATGTGAGCAGTGTTGAAATGATGGTCAAATGGATGAAAGGCAGCACTTTAATAGACACACCAGATATACTGTTTCATAAAAAGTCTGGAAATTATTCTCACTGTTTCATAAAAAGTTATTATATCTATCTTTCTATCTATCTATTTGTCTGTCTGTCTGTCTGTCTATCTATCTATCTATATCCATCTATCTATCTATCTATATCCATCTATCTATCTATCTATCGTCTATCTATCTATCTATCTATATCCATCTATCTATCTATCTATCTTTCTATCTATCTATTTGTCTGTCTGTCTGTCTATCTATCTATCTATCATCTATCTATCTATCTATCGTCTATCTATCTATCTATATCCATCTATCTATCTATCTATCTATCATTGTATATTTTACATATACATTTAATGGATTTCCTTTTTTTTTTTTTTTTTTTTTGAAGGGAAAGGAACCAAACACGGTAACTTTGTTTACTTTGGTGTTCTGCAAGACATTGGAAATTTTTGAAAATGTTGAACACAGAAATAAACTCTGGTTTTGGCCCCAAATAACACTGTAAAGTTGATTTTTTTTAAATTGCATACTGTTTCAACAAGTGCTCTATAAAGGGCTAAGGTGACAGAGAAGGGCCATGGCACAGTCTGTCTTTGATTCTCAACGTAGAGGTTGGGCAAAAAAACATTCAGTGCTGACTTTGTGTTTACCCGCATAAAGTACAGTATCACTTCAGTTGCTTAAAGTCAGAAATTTTCCATTTCCGTTTGCTATGATACCACCTGCTGACAGAGTAAAATATGTTACGTCTAAAAGAGAATATGTACACTTCAAAAAACAAAATTGTGTTCCTCTCCTTCGTTTTGGGATCAATCCTTTGAACCCTTATTTGTTTGCAGGAAAGCCTGGATCATTCCTAGGAAATTAGAAATATATTGTTAAGCCTTCAGCTAGACAAACACTACTCTGCTCCTTTGTGATAATTATTTGGCATTTTAGCTTCTTGCCTTATAAGCCAGCCTTGTGTTTTTTTTTTATCCGGCATGATAACAGGCTGACAGCTGTTGCAGTCAGCGAGATAAGAACAAAATAAGTCATGCACTGCGCCTGGTTTACAGCAGATACTTTAATGCTTTATTGTTTTGTATTTGTATTTGTGAATTTGTATTCCTGTTTCTACACACTATTTCACTGAACTGATTGTTCTCAATGAAGGACAATGGATAATGAAGGATTAAAATATTAATCAGTCTACCATAGTCTCTCAGAATACTTAACAATTGTCTCACCTAAAGTTGAGACCTGTGCAAATACTTGCTGGGTATTGAGATGGTATTTTATTAGTTATTTTTTTCAATACCTTCTACATCGGGGTGTCAAACTCATTTTCACCGTAGGTCAATTCAGCAACGTGTTGCCCCTGAAGGGTTTGATTGTAACTGGTTGACTGCAGATATGTAACTACTCCATAATGTATTAATACCTCTGATTATTAACTGATTATTTGTATTCAAATTACAGATTTTGTACATTAATAAAGAAACATTTTAATGTTTCATGGTTAAGAAACTTGCATTCAAATTAAACATTCAAACTTTTCACGTGAATTTCAAAAAAATCAAATAAACAGATACAGAAGTTCCATAGAATGGTGAATGCAAAGTAACTTGATTTTTGCCCTAAGTTGGAACTCCCCTACTGTACATAAATACCCATGTCACTCACCTATGCTACACCTAACACAATAGTAACTTCTTAATCTAGGACATAAAAACATCAGAAAAGTCTGAAATATGCCATAATGAAGGGCTCGCTTCACACATTTTTTACTCCCGCCTCAGGTTAATGATGTATCTCTTGATGCATTTCAGTCACTGTTAAAAAATTAAATCTTTCATGCAATCTGCCCTCCTGCAAACACCAATTTATTTAAACAAAAAACCCAACAGTATTTCTGTAGATCTATGACAACTTTTTCTTAATCTCTGTTGTTGCATCAGTTTGACCTGTCTCGTTACACTTTGGTTTCTACATAATTATTACTTGTTCTGCTTAGCAAAATACCATTGCTTGAAACCACCAAAAATACAGCATCATTATTTGCCAGAACCACGGTATACTATAATGAACTAGACACATCAGCTAGCTAAACAAAAGTCTCAAAGTTGAAAAGTATGAAAAGTATGCTCTTTTTTTAAGTCATAGATGAAGTTAAAATTGTTAAAGTTACCCTTTTTAGTTCAAACAACAATGTACCAGTCATTTAAAAAAAATCAAAACAAAACAATAAGTGGGAAGAAAATGTTTGTACATTGTTTTGTTGTTTAGTGAGATTGATTCTCAATGTCAATTTATTTATTTAGAATTCTCTACACTTGTGATTCCATTGCACAACCTTTAACCTACTTAATCGTATCAAATAATCTCGTGCCACATCCAGAAGATCCAGCTCTTTGTACTGTTTCCAAATAATGCTTTCCAGATGGTTGCGTAAAAAAAAAAAGTATCTTACCTCAAAACCAGTCCGGAGGTACAAGGCGGATCCACCGATTCCTCAGACAGAGGATTTGCCCCAATTCTGGCCTTCGACATAAGAACTTTCTGTCCAGAGACTTATTTTTCTTCTGGAGTTGACCATACTGACCATACTGTCATACTGAGTGAAAGTGAAATAAATAAGTTGTTGAAGATTGTGTGGTGGTTTTTAATTATAATTTAATAAAGAATAATTAGTTTAGAAAAATATATTTTTTTACGAGTAATTATTGTGGTGCTAACACAAGGTTAAAAACACTGTACTGTGTAGTGGGTTTCAGATTTGAAGATTTAGATTCAAGCTGCTTTTGGCCACCAGACTTTCTCCACACAAACAAACAAGAAGCTGAAAAGGACTGAGTGAGGGAAACGGGTATATATAACCAGGGCACCAGGTGTGACAAGTGAGCCTAAACGAGACAAGCAGAGCACAGGACAAAGGTGAGCGTGATAAACTACTAGGGAGACAGAAGGGCAGAGAGGCAGATAAACATGGTAGTCAGACTGCAACAGTGGGTTTTTCTTTAACTGACATTTTGAGTCCCAAAATGTTGCTTGTCTGGATGGTTATTCTACTAGATGGCATTTGTAAAAAGCTACAAGCTAGCAGCCCAGTTCTTGACGCCACCCTGAAGTTGGATCAGCCATTTAAGCTGACCATTGACGTTGATGTTGGGGCTGCACTTCTTGATGATGAGGTATCTGGTGTTAAATATCCATCAGACTTTTCTCGAAAAACATTTATTACCATCAGAAACATTACCCTTCCTAAAAACGAGGTTTTGGCCCTTAGTCTTGCACTCAGCAACTTTGATATCTTTGTGACATCCAGTGAAATCCTTAAGATTTCTACTGACTCTAACCCTGTTGCCTCTGTTGTCACAGGAGTGACAGCTGACAATGATTGTGCTGTTGTGTGAAATCGCACGTCTCCAAAATGTCCATCAGCTTTCCTGTGGAACAAGTTTCAATTTCATTTTCCTTTGACAAATTATTTTATTGCCATCAAGGAAAGAAAATGCAGTGTGTTGTATAAATGCATTCATTTATTGATTTATTTTAGAGTAACTAAAGCAAGAATTTTAGGGCAGCGCACAAAAGGCAACCATTTGCAGTTAGATCTTTTCATTGGAAAGTTTTTGGTTTACCTCATTCACCATTTAAAGGATAGAACCTTGAAATTTCACAGCATATTAAAAATGACATTTTTTCATATATTAAGGATTCAAACTTTAAAACTTTTCAATTTTTTTACGTTACAAAGACAATTAAAAATTTGATTTTATCAAAATATAATTAACAACAAGGAGATATATAAAAATGTATATAAATATTTGATACATCATAAAGACTAGGGATGGTCAATAATATAGGCCGACCAATATTATCGGCCCTACATTAGCATAATTATGTTATATCGTTAAACATTTTTATCATTTTCTACTCCGATAATGAAAACCCCATAACGTAATGTCTGGGTTTTGTAAAATATACTGGAATATCTTTAAAATGTACCATGTACAGATAATGCTAATTTGTGGAATGCCTCTAATTAGCAATCACAATAAAAGTAGGTAATGTATTAATTTCACAACAGGAAAATGAGATGTGACCTAAAAATACTTTTGGAGATAAATGGCTACATATATTGGTATCGGTTTATATCAGAATCAGAAATTAAGTGTTCAGACCAAGGGTCACCCCCTTAAACTACCTAAGGTGCCAAAACTAGTAAACATAAGGTCGAAAATTCTACTGTTACTGTGATATTTGAATGAGTTACCCTTGCGGTGATATTTAAATGAGCAATGACAATGGTAAGAAGAGGGTCTACTATTGTATGTAAATGCAAGTTTCTTAACCTGATATACTCTTGAAGTCCCCTCGTGAACCTTC